CTTCCCCTAAAAAGAAAAAAAAAAAGCTTTATTCATTGAATGAGAAAACAAAAGAAAAACTTATACAGTTTAGAGCATGCTATTATTTGAAGAAAAAAACGAAATAATTTCTAAAACAATTTATTTATTTCATTCAGTTTCTCACTCTTTTAATCATTTTTCCACCCTACCAGGAGAATATACTGCATTACCAGTTTGTTTGGATGAATTACATTGAATTAGGGGACTAACTGCTCATTGAAGACGGAGCTGTTTTTCTATGCACAAAGTAAGTTCAAAGTAGGACCTACTCAATATGGGGAATATTTAAAAGCACCATGTGGAAAATGAGCTTTCAGTCTCATTGCTCTTTGAAGGAAACTTTCTAATAGCAAAGGCCGAGGTTGTAAAATGTTCAACCTCTAACAGCAAAAAAATGTGGGGTAAGACTCAGCCTTAAAGGTAAGAAGAAAATCTTTAAAACTTTAAAAGCCCAGAGTATTTTTTATATTTAATAATATTAATAATATTGCCTCAATAGATGCCAAAACAAAAACATCACTTAAGACTGGGAGTGAAGAGACTGGGAATGAAAGGACTGAGAGCCAAAGGCCTGGATCTGTGTCCAGACCTTCCCATTCATCACCAAAATGACCTGCAATTGAATCTGATCTCATTGGGCCTGTTTCCTGCTCTGTAAAATGAAACAGATGGACAAGACCTCTAAGCCTCCCTTCCAACTCTACTTGAGTAACTGTATAATTTTAGAGGCAATCTCCAAGTTGTGCATATTAGGTAGGCTAAAGCTAATCATATCCCAATTTACAAAGTGCTATAGAGGTCAAGAAGTAGTTTCCCTCATGGTACCACGTCTAACTATGGTCAAGTGTACCACAGGGAATACTTACACGCTACTAAAACACAGGGGCTCAGCCTTAATGGGAGGCTTTACAGTTAAACTCATCCCATTCTTTTCTGGCAATGTGGGAAAAAATGGTATAAAGAGAGAGAATGGGCAAAATGAAGAAAATTATTCTTGTTACTACTGTGCTGCACTCATACAAGCGCCTCAGTATCAAAAGAACCAAGTGCAATAAATCCTTTACTAGACGTAGGATTTAGCAGAAACAAATATGAACCCACTTACAAAAGTAAAATGTACTACTGAGTTTCTTAATGAAAGGTCACCCAAAAGTAGAGGTTAACATGAAAATAACCCCTTCCTATAGCTGGGTCTCAGTGATAGATAAAGCTTATGAGGAATCAATAAACAAGGCCCAGCATTGTTGTTTGATGTTGTAGTGTAGGGAAATGAAGCCAGCACTACGAGGCAACAAATACAAAAAAAAAATGGAAGAAAAGCAGCATACTATCTTCAATCTTTCTAGAAAATGAGAGGGAAAACAATACAAAAAAATGTAAAATACATTAAGGGAATATTTAACAGGGTCCTTTAAGTAATTAGCAATGATCAGGTATTCAGTTTTCAAAATATGTAGGTTGGGTGTATTTTTTTCCTAATAAAGCATTTCAAATTCTAATTAAAAAAATACTTTATGGAGGAATTAAAAAGATACAATAGTGTCAGAGAAAAAGCCATGATCCCAGAAGTGGAATATTCTAACAACATAACTTAAAAGAGACTACGCTATAAAAACAGATTGTTGATTAACACAAACTCATAACAAAACACAGAGAGCTATCACAATGGTGCTGTAATAACACTTGGCTGCTGAATTCTCTCAATACATTAAATATCTCCTTGGAGACCAAATTACTTTAAATTTTCTTAAAAGACAATTTATTATAGCTTTGTTTTCTTCTCATTAGTCATAAAAATATATCCAATGAAGAAAAGAATGCAACTTCTAAATAACTTACATAAAATGGTACTAATGTGTGGCAACACTTCGGTTTAATATATTGGTTATTACTTAAACAGCACACAACTATCTATTGTTATGACAAATCCTTACCACAATGCGATATTCCATGTGTCACATGTATCAAAATCCACTGTATGTCACTATTATGGCATACATAAAATTAACAGCCTAAGGCTGCTAACAATTTAAATAATTGATAAGTTTTCAATTAAAAAAGCAACATTTTCAGATCTAATACAAAAACCTATTTAAATTACTGATAAAAAAAAAACAAACAAACACACCCAACAGCTTATGCTTCTGTTGGCCCAAAGCCAGAAAATGCTTGTATCCAATTTTTAAAAAAAAGCAATTCTGCAAGTTACAACTTACACATTGCAAATTTTTTCAAAAATTTTAGGCAGAGATTCAGGCTGTTTATTCATTTAACCTTTGTAATCAATAGGAAAGAATAATTAAAGAATTTATGGTAAAAATGTTTCTAATTTTGCTTTGCTTACATTAAAGAAATACCAAAGGGCTGGGGATTGAACCTGCAACCCTCCAGTGTGGGATGACACTCTAACCTAACTCAACCACACCGGCTAGGGCTCTAAGTATTTGTTCAATGAATTAGTGAGAAAATCGGGATCTAATTGGCCTGACCACAATCCGTAAGCCACTACCAATTCATAAAAAAAGTTTTCAATATCCATAGCAAATTAATAAAGAATAATGTAGTGAGTTTTTTATATTAAAACTAAATTTACTCACTTTAATGATCATCTTTACTTTTGAGATTATGTACTGCCTAATGTTTTAATCTTTAAATAACTCCCACTCTATTAATAAAATAATGGTTAACAAGATACTTTTATTAGTTTATGTATTAAGGTTTGGTTTTATTGGCAAAATTAAACATTACCATGCCTATGTCTGTCTTCCAACCTAAAAATGAAAGATTGATTAGTTCATGAAACCTAAGTATTTGGGATCAATGAGCTACTTGATTTCTTTTCAGACTAAAAAGTGGCTCTCAAAAAGTCTCAGGAACTTAAGTTTAAAAACAATTACATAGCTAATATTTTCCTACAAAACTAAGCACTGTATTTGAGAAAATAAACACAAATCATAGGGAATATATACTCAGATAGCTCAACTAAGGTATTATATAAATACTAATCACTCAGATTTTAATAGTGGTTATAACATAGAAAGATCCCAATACTAATGTGCAAGGAAGTGAATAGGAGAGAAAACAGTGTAAAACATAAAGGATCATGGGCTTTGGCATAAGAGAAAACTGAATTTTAAATTTTTTTATTTATTGATTTGAGAGAGAGAGAGAAATATCAATTTGTTGTTCCACTTATTTATGCATTAATTGGTTGATTCTTGTATGTGCCCTGACCCGGGATTGAACTTGCAACCTTGGCATATTGGAACAACACTCAACCAACTGAGCTACCTGGCGAGGAGAAGAAACGGAACTTAAATTCCATATTGACATTCATAGCTCTAAGACCTTCAGCATGTTTGTTAATCATGGCTTCCTCATCTAAAATATAGAAATGACAATATCTACCTCACAGAGTGATTAAAACCAATGAAAATGAAATACCATAAGAATCTAGTCTAGAGATGAGGAATCAAAAAACCCAGAAATGATTATTATTATGTACATTATTGAAAACACACCTTTTTATGTGGATATGTCAGAGACATAATGAAAGTACCCTGCTGTCAGTAATGTACTCTGCAATAGATGCATGTAAAAAACTAGAACCAACCTGTGTGTGTGTTTTCTAAAAATAAGCATGTCACATTCCCAGGAGAGTTAGAAATCTATCAATACTAGTATTAGACCTTTCAGCAGACCATCCTACTCTACCTTTCAAGGTGCTGATGAGCCCTGCTCTAAATTCTCAAAGCACAAGGACTCTCAAGTAAGTTAATGGGAAGTCAATGGGAAATTGACTTTTCCTACTCTGTGCAGCTCTGAATGCAACGCTCTGTTAATCATGCCATTCTTCTTGTTCTCTTTCTTCCTACCCTAAATTAAAACTATTGGCAGAAACTCACAAAGATATTTTACAGTTTTCATTACAATGAAACAATACCTTGGGTTGAAGTTGAAGTCTATCAAAAACCTACAATCTGTTAGCTAAGATTAGTATCATTTCCGCCATAATACCACTTTGCATTTGTATAGAACTTTTAAGTTTTCAAAGGGCTTTCACAGCTACTCCCCCATTTGATCATTACAATAACCCTGTGCCATAGAAAGGACATGTATTATTATCCACAACTGACAGATGAGGCAACAATAGCACAGAAAGGTTAAGTGATTTGCCTAAGGCCAGGAAACCAGAAAAGAGCTGGGTCTCCTGGCTTTCAGTCCAATGTTCTTTTCACCAGACCATTAGAGATTTTATAAACACATACAAACACAGATAAAATAAAATAAAATAAGAGGAAATTTGTTTATTTTATCATAGCTGAATTTTTCAAGCTCAGTACTAAAGTTTTAGAAATGTAGTCTTTTCTCTTGTTGATGTACTTCAGCCCTGTGACAAACATTAATGCAAATTTTCACTGAAATCCAAAACACAAAAGAAAAATCATTTCAGGATATATTCAAATCACTTTGATTCAGTAAGTAACCCCATAGTAGTTCATCTTGGGATGGGTATAAGGGGGTGGATAAAATAATGGAGAGCACATCTTTAAATTGTGTATCCATATTAAGCCTGCAGCTACATTATAACTATAGTGTGTTTGGAAGGGTGAAAGAGATCGCCAGTTGAAAGTAGATTTTGAAAAATTTTTTAGAGCCCAGGGGTTCATTTTTAATGAGCCGTTACTTTAAGTACTGCATAAAAAATACAGGAAATTGATAGTCCATTTAGTCTGCACCATACCTAATGCAAAAGTCATTAAGATGCATTATTCTTAATGTTCACGATATGATCAGTAAGTGTCTTTTGGAAAGAATGCCCTTAACTTTCACATAAGGAAATCTTTGAAAACCTTATATACTATATAGAAAAATGTTATGGCAATTGTGATTTACGTTTATACCTTCACTTTGCCAAGAAACAGCATCCTCAATCACAGTAATATATTTAAGATAGTCCTCATTTGTAATGTACTTACATATGACAGCATTGCCTTCATTTCTTCATCACTTCTCACTGTAATTCGATCACCATCTTCATCTTCATCTGTTTAAAAAGCAACGTAATGCAACTGATAAGATTTGCATTTTTTATGTACAAAAACCACATCAGCTGGAAACATAATACAATTTGTTTTTACAAACTGATATCCAAATCCTCAAAACCCTATTTTGGGGGATGGTGAGGTTTGTTATTTTGCTTTGTTTTTGTTCAGGATACAACCAGAATCTCAATAAAGAACTAAAAAAATTAAGGGACAGCTAAAAATTAAAATATTACTCATGCCATTCATGACATGTATTTAGGAGTACGATTAAAACAGGTTTGGTTTGGAGAACTTTAAAAACTGAAGACAGGCCAGTCCTATTCTACTGTCAGTACTTTTTTTCTTTCCCACACAGCACCCTATCCCTCTATTCCTTCATTCTTTCTCTCTTCCAGGCAACCACCCACCATGTCACATTAGCATAATAAAAATGACTAACATTTACTGATCATCATTATACACAAGGCACTAAGTGCTTCATATGCAGTAAGAACCTCCTGAAGAACTTCACAACGGTCCTATATGTGGATAGTGTAACTTTATTATTATTATTATTATTATTATTACTAGAGGCCTGGTGCACGAATTCATGCACGGGTGGGGTCCCTCGGCCTGCCAGGTGATTGAGGCCTATGGGGGGGAGGGGCCACGGGTGGTTGGCCACTGGCCCCACCCCCGAACAGGGCCCCATTGGGGCCAGGCCAGCCAGAGAGGGGGATGGGGGGTCTGCAGGAGGTCAGTCGGCCCACCAATTGGGGGTGGGGCCAGCTGGGGGGAGGTCCCGCAGGAGGTTGGCCAGCCGGCCCCACCCCTGATTGGGCCAGTTGGCCAGCCGCAGTGGGCGTCATAGTGACCGGTCATTCCAGTTGTTCTGGGCGTTCTGGCATTCTAGTCACTGGCTTTTTATATATATGGATTCATTTTTACAGAAGAAAAACTGGGAGCCTAGTGTAAGGTTAACTTGCAAAGCAACTCTAACATCCTCTCCATATCCTATTCTATCTAGTAGCTCTCTTTCTCTTTTTGTACAGTTTCATTTGTACTGGGAACTCTGACCATAGTAAGTGTCAAACAGCAATTCATGGTACTTTGAAATAGTCTTGAAACTAGAGGATAATAAGGCTTTACAAGATACATAACCAGAATGTATTCATTTGACTAACTGTATTATCAAAGTAGACACACCCAGAAACAATGTACTTATTTCAACTATGCTTCCTTTATTCAAAGTAGTTTTGAAATAACTCTTCACAAACTGCTTTAAGAACTAGAAGACAGACCACGTAAAAATATCAGATCTCACTTTTAACCCAAACAAAATTGTCCACCTGATCATTCTCCTACACTACCTGCCAAGGAGAACTCAGAATGACTTTGGCTATTTCTAAATATTTAGTTAGCTTCTTCATCTTTCTAAAGATAAGCATCTGTCAACAGGAGAACAGCCTATGTGGTAGACTCTAACTGTACAGTTGAAAGAAAAATACCAAAAATATTTTTAGCAACAGCAGCATTGTTGGAAAAAGTACACAGCTTCCCAGAGGACAACTTGGAAGGGGCTACTCCAGCTGTGGGCAAACTACGGCCCGCAGGCTGGATTCGGCCCGTTTGAAATGAATAAAACTAAAAAAAAAAAAGACCGTACCCTTTTATGTAATGATGTTTACCAGGCCTGGCTTTAAAACAAAAATGTAAAGTGGCTTTCATGTGTATAATGTACAACATTATATTCCTTTATACTATATCTGTTTTTCCCCTTTGCTTACATCACATACTCTGGGGATTCTTACTGAAAAGACAGTATGAGTTTAGTTCAGCACAAGACTCTTCGCCCATCAGCCCTCCTTTTTGTCCACCTGCAGTTCTGAAGATATACCCTGTTCACTGACAAGGCTCTGGGAGCCCTACGAGGGTTCATATTACAGAGCAAAATGCTACTTCCTTTTCCTTTTCAGTAGCCGGTAGCAATCTGACATCATGAGGGAAACTAGCACTTGAGCCAGCCCCTCTCAATGATCAAGCCCACAGCTCTTGCAAATGCTCCAAAGCATTTGTTCCTGGATCCTGGTTCACTCCAAATAGTTCCCCAACTCAATGTAAATCAGTATCAAGTCATATTAAATATCTATATAGGTAGAAACTGTCTGAAGTTACTATTGGCATTATGCTATCAAGAGTGGCCTGTTTTCAGTATAAAAGACACACAATGGTGACTTTCAGTAACAAAGGTGGCACTTTCCTAGATGTTACATATATAAAGGATATATAGGAATCTAACACTGTCCTTCTTTCTTTTCTTTCTTTTGTTTTTTAAGTTACAGAATCTATAAAACCAAATGCCATTCTAGTTTTGGAAACAAAAAAGTTTCTACATAGGTTCTAGAAACTAGTATTTTCAAGGTTAAGTCAAAAAGTTTTCTTACAAATGCAGGAAACAAAGGGGAAAAACAGATCCTATATAATAAAGAGGGAATATGCAAATTGACTATCGCTCCACCACAAATATGGTGGCACCCACAGCGGAGGCGGGGGTTTTCATAACACAAGATGGTTGCGCCCACAGCAGAAGCAGGGTTTCCATAACACAAGATGGCTGCACCCACAGCAGAGGTTGAGTTTCTATAATGAGCCTTAACGAGCAGTCGGCAGGGACCTGAGGCTGCACCCCCCTCTCGCCCCTGTGGGGCTTGACAGGGGACCTCAGGCCGCATCCCCCAACCAGCAGGGCTTGACAGGGGACCTCAGGCCATGCCCCCT